TATATATATATATATATATATATATATATATATATAGAGAGAGAGAGAGAGAGAGAGAGAGAGAAAGAAGAAACATTCTTAAAGAGGCCGCTTATGGATTACTATCTTTTTTTGCTCATGGATTGTCAAGAGTAGGTTTAGCAAACATGACCAAAGAACCCGTCTTACCCTCTAAATCCAAACTGAACCTCTATTCGTAGCAGACGGCTTCTCCCCTCGCCCTCCCTCTGCTCTTCTTCACTCCACATCGCGAATCCACCGCTAGCGAACCTCCATCACGGGCGTAGGTAGGAAATAATCCCCAAAATAACCATCGTCGCCACGTAGTCGGTCGCTTTTCCAAGATAATTTTCATGGAATTTAGCGTTCTGGGCGCCCTGCTCCGCCCGTTGGCTGGCAACTGGTGAGAAGTACCCATGGATCCCTTCCTATTTGCCCTCGAGAAGGCGATAGGTGCGCGATCAAATGGCGTGCGCGAGCTGCGGGAAGTAAAAACAAAAACAAATCAAAAGCTAACCAGGAAACGGCCGCCGTTGAACCGTGAGTGCGCCCACCCTCCACAAGACGGACTCGTGCGGTGAAGGGAGCCTCCACAGATCCTCAAACCATCCCCCCCCCTCGCCACGACCTTCCCGTTGAGCGCATGAATTACTTCGGGAGGCATCTGCCGGGATCGGGAAAGCTATTGGCAGAAATGAGAGACGTAACTCACCGCCAAAAGTCCGAAGAGTGGACTGGTAGTGAAGGGTTTGACGAAGGTAAGGTGCCCTGCTCATTGTCGAGGGCACCTCCCCCCATGATCCGAGGTGAAGTCCTCATGGGCGGCTAAAAAATCCCCGATGAGCTCTCCGCCACGAAGGGAATATCAACCGAATAGGCGCCGTATTGCTCATTGGCCATTCTGGTACGTCGCGTTGTGGAACCCTCACCCGACCTTTATGAAAGCCTCGGCCGGAAGCATCAAAAAGAAAGCGAGGTCTTTAAAATATCGTCCACCTAATAGTTCTCGCAATGTCTAACCACCTTGCCGTAATGTCTATGAGGACTTGAAGCGCGGTGAGGCGTCTCAAGCAGTTGTTATAGGATTTTTCCCGGATCTCCAGGGGTTCCCGATTGGGGGGCGACTACCTTTCGGCTTTTTATTTTGCTACATTGAACTATGAAGCTATCCTTAGAGACTTCTGACCTTTGTTGGCTCCCTTTTTGGTGTATTATTAATAATAACAATATAAGTCTCATTGATTAATAAAATTACCTTCCATTAAACAACCAAACAGCGAAAGAGAAAGCAAGGAGAAGAGAAGACATTTTACCTTTTATGATGCCCCCACATAATCAAAGACTCGCGAGGTGCAGTAAGCCCACCCACTTGTGAGGAAAACCTCCACAATATGCTTTTTATCAAAGAGTTTACCAAATGATAATCATAATAATAATAATCGCGATTTTACTCGATTTCCTCAACCTAGGCTTTGACTTTAGTAGGGCATGTAGGCGTCGTAGTCGGAGGCGCAGCGAGCGAGCACCTCCACGTTCTTCGGCCGCACCATCCCGCCGAGGCGGTTGCTCTTCTTCGGCTCCGGGAGCGCCTTGCCGGCCTTCTTCGCCGCCTGGAAGGCCTGGAAGTCGCGCTCCTTCTGCTTGAACGCCTCCTGGCAGCGCGATTTGCGGATGTGCTCGAAGCGAACGCAGATGCGCTTGCGCAGGGTGCGGGTGCGGACGGGTTTGTTGATAATCACCCCCACGCCACGCGGGGTGACGTTCCAGACGATGCCCGTGCGGCCGTGGTAGTATTTATGCGGCATTCCCGCGCGAACGGCGGAGTCCGCGACGACGTCGACGTAATCCCCGATCTTCACATTCGTGAGGATCGTGGAGACGGAGGGCATGCCATGCTTGCGGAACTTCTTCGCAAAGAGGTGGCGGGTGCCGCTCTTCAGACCGTAGGAGTGAACCATGATTTATCTCGTCGGTGTGCCTGTTCGATGAACCCTTTCGCTGGTGCAAAGCTCTCGTACACGAAGTATACCGCTGTAGAAAAGAAAAACAAAAAAGAAAGAGAAAGAGAAAGGGAAAGGGATCGTCCACATATGAGATGATGTGAAAAGTCAACACATTGACAATAAATGATGCCCAATATAATAACCAAAGCACGTTCGACGTGTAAATCCCTTTTTGGTTGTTAGAAAAGAACTCTCCACCATAAACGAAACAAGAATCAATGATATGTTCAGGTCCACAAGTATATATGACCTCCTACGCATGCCAAGATGTTCCTTTCGTGAAGTATCTAATGGCGTGATGACAACTAGCTAAAGAAAGTGTTCCTCGACTGGCAGTCGACCGAAGTCACCGCAGAGAGAAAAATAAACTGCACACACTATTGAAAAGAGCTTCCCCTCACATACCCCACCCACCCACACAGCAAAAGAAACAAAGAAGTCTACCCACCTCTTCAAGAAAGAGCGCCTTCTTAGTGCAGATGTTCCACTTAGCTTGACGAGGAGGTCTCTATCACAGAGTCACGTTGAAGAAAGTAAACCAACCCCACCCACCCTTGTCAGGAAAAGCGTCAAATGTTGATGGAACCCTCAGAACCCGATGAAGTTTAGAGATGGATAAATAGATAAATAGATAGATATCATCGCTTTATCAATAGTAATGTTATTATTCGGCAAATTCAACGCTTCAGCCCACTGAAGGCGGGGCGATCGCCTCCACGAGAGCGGTCTCCAAGGTCCCCCCCATGTGAGGCGCCGGTATCAACACGACGGATGGAATTTTTAGCGACATAGGCGCCTCCCCCCCCCCTTCCGCCCTCGCATTTGGCTGCAAAGCCATCTGAAAAATCCGACGGACAGGCCCTAACACACACCGAGAGCGGTGCGCGAGGGAATGGCGAATTTCCTCGCGAAGCTCCCCCCCACTGGCGCGACGCCCGGCGGCGGTGAGCTCGCGTGGGAGGCCGAGGTGGAGGATCAAATCGATCCGGCCGCATCGCCTGAACGCCTGCACCTCCCGCGCGACCTGCAGCTGCGCGTCCGT